ATGGTCAGGAGCTGTGGCGGAGAGGACCAATGTGACTGTAAAACTTCTCATCATCTTCAAAGAATGCCTTGGTCAAACAGCTATTCCCATATATTGAAGCAGTTAATCATCGCCCGTTTACCAAAGGTATTTACTTACTCATTGAAACTAGACCTGAAGTTACAGTTGAATCCAGTATAATATCATAATCTCTTTTCTTCTGAGTCCCATTTTGACCCTCTCTAGCTAAATTGTTACAGCTCCTATGCATTCAAGTGCAACGTGCTTCATTTAACATGTTTGAAGAATTCAAATTATCGGTAGGAATCTTGTTATCTCTCTTTCCTGTCTACATTTCATGTCCCGAGTTCTAGTTTCTATTCCTTCTAATCTCAGTTTATCTGTATAGGGACATATCGCATTTCCACTTGTCTTAGACCTCTCCTTGTTCACACCAACTTCAATAGGCTTAAACATAGAAGAAAGGATTGAGATGTCTTCAGAGTACCAAAAGCCAGAAGCATCAAGAAAGCATGGCATGTACAGGCTTGTGACGGTGGTGGAACATTTTGGTAGAACGGGAAGCGGGCATTACACTGTTTATAGAAGTGTGAGAGTGCCATCACAAGAGGAAGAAGAAGATTGTGAGGAATTGTGCTGGTTTAGTATATCTGATTCAGAAGTTTGCAGAGTTTCAGAGAGTGATGTTCTTGGTGCTGAAGCTAGCTTGCTCTTCTATGAAAGGCTGTGATTATTCATTGGATTGATCAATTATTCATTGGGTTGATGTTCTTGGTCCTTAACAAATTGTAAAACTAGTCTGTGTTTTTTCTTTCGTTTGTCCCAGAAACAAAAAAGTGACGAGAGAAAGGGAAGAAATAAAAATCGAACAAAGAGAAAGAAACTTTTGAAATGAAAACATTGTGTATAAACCAAAAATAAAGTAAAAAGAAAAAAATTTACACAGTAAAAATATTTGCAAAAACTCATAAAAATTAGTTTAGGTGCAGTGCCTGTTCGGTAAAATCCGAGACCAAAGATGAAAAAAAATTGAGCCTTTTTAAAAAAATTATAATTTTTATTTATACATATTTTAAAAACAATTTAGACATAGTTTGTTAATTGTGAGACTTTTTTACTAATTGTGGGATATTTTTTGTTAATTATGAGTCTTTTTTTTATTTAATATTGGGGTTTTTCTGTCAATTTTGGGGCCTATTTTTTTTTTTTTTTTTTAAAACATTCTCCACAAAAAGGCCTCAAATGGTTTTTTTTAAATGGGTGCAGGGTCGGGCTTATCTAGGTGTAAAATTTATTTGCGTGAAAAGCGGTTAAACTAATAACACTTTTTACGAATCTGGAAGCTCTTCTTTTGCTGAAGTGCAACGAATCGCTTCAGGTAACATTCACCGAACTGTTTTTATGATTTTGAAATTTCTGTTACTCAAATCATCTCGCTAACGAAGATTTCACTGTACCTCTACGTTTCTTTTGGATATGAATGTTCCTGACCTAATGCTGATTTTCAGAGGCAAACTTGTGCTGGACTCTAGACCAAAACTTTCATATTCTGAAGAGGCTAAATATCTGAGACCATTTTTACATACGGTATGCAAAATGCATTTACAATTCTCTTTCAAGATTATTCTTTTTTTTACTTAGCCAGCGAAATAGAGATTTGCCTATGAATTATGTCAAGTGGGTTCTTTATGCAGAAGAAGCCTAATGTTATATCATATCCATAAAAGTTGAAACCCATAAATATGTTAATGTTTTCGTAATGTAAATACTAGATTTGAACCCGCGGTGTACCGCGGGGTTATAATTATTTTTTAAAAAATCTAAATATAATTATTTTTGTTTATTAATAGAGAGTATACTATAATATTTCGACCTATTTTATAAATGTACCATCCATATGTCTATATTAATAGTTTTGAGTATATTAATTGTGTTTTAGGTTTAAATGGTATATCTATATATACACTTAAACGACATTTGGCTTTCTTCTTCTTCTTGCCTCAGTTTAGGAGAAAGATTTTTCTTACGGTACACCGCGGAGCTATTATTTTTTAAAAAAAAATTTCCTTCCTTAAACTTCCAAATCTAGATTACCCCGCGGTACACCGCGGGTCGATTTTTTTATAACTAAAAAATTATTTTGCAAAATTTTAAGTTGTATTTGTTTTGTTAATATTGTTTATTTTGTTTAGTGTTTCTGATTTTATAATTAAATTTTGATTTTTAATTCTAGGATTTCATCCATAGTATATTGTTTAATATTAATATTGATCTAAACCCGTTGCACCATATAACCCCGTCCCGTAAAATTAAACATCATTTGTTATTTTTTTGAATAATATTTTTATCCACTACGGATCGCAGGTTCATGCGGATAAGCCCGTAGAGAATTGCGGGTTTGCGGGTCGATCCGCCAAAAGAGAAGCTATCTTTTGAAACCATTTGTTTTGTTTAGAGTTTTAAGAAAATATCACTAAAAAATAATTTTCATTACATATAAAAAAAAAAGTAGAAGAAATTGTAGTATCAACATTCCTGATTTTTACATCACTCGTTACAATTATTTTATTTTTTTTGCAGATAAAAATCAGAAGTTAACTAAGTCGAGATTTTTAAAAAGATTGATTAGAGATTTTTGGTAAATTGTTGAGAACATATTTGATTTCAAAATCTTTACTTAAATAAAATAAATCTAAATAATTAATGCTAATGGCATGTCATTGTAAATACTTCTCAACTTCAGGATTTATTTGCTAATTGTGATCCAAAAATGTATATATAGACTAGATTTTAACCCGCGGTACACCGCGGGGCTATATTTTCTTAAAAAAATCAAAATGTAATTTGTTTGATAGATTATTTTGATTGTTAATTTTAGGATTTCACCCGTGGTATACGATCTTTTATAAATATCAACCCAAACCCGTCCCATCATATTACCCGTCCCGTGTAATTAAACATTATTTAGTTATTTTTCTTTTTAATAATACTTTTATTTAAAAGCTATATAATTCAAGTCAATTTAAAAATTTCTTTTAAATGGTTCCCATAAGATATATATATATACACATATATTAAATTTGTATAGATTTGAAATAATATTAATATTACAAATTTTTTATATAATTTAAATATTATAAATATTTTTAAAAATATGTAATATATATTTTTTGTTATTGAATAAGAGGATATTATGTGTAAGAAATGTAGAAAATAAGAGTTTAATATTTTTATTATGGAGTCGCAAAAAAAATCTTTTATTTCTATACATGTTATTCATTTATTAATAATAAAAGAAAACAAATCCTTTAAATTAGATATTAATAGGTAACAAATCATTTATTAAGTAACAACCAATAAATTTCACCAAAAAATAGGTAACAACCAATAAATTCTAAACGCAGTAATTAAAGAATGAGATATTAAAAAAAAAATATCAAATAAGATATAAGAATCTTAAAATAATTGAACATCTAAATAATTTAATTGTTAGTGTCGATTTTAATGCCTTCATTAATGTGGATTTTTTTTTTTACAGAGAAATATTTCCTAAAGATTATCACATTAATGATTCAGAAAATTAAGGAAGATATGAATTTATGATTCTCGAAATCGTATTGGTAATATCTTTAATTAATATTTTTCAAATTTAAATAATTAATGCCAATGGCATTCATCCGTAAATAAGGTCCAACTCCAGGATTTATTTGCTAAAAGTCATTCAAAAATGTATATATAGATGTTTGTTTTTTTTGGTAAGGAATATGTTTTAGTGAAGGAAATATGTGTAGTTATTAATTAATAGAGTAAAAATTATGTTGGACATAAGCAACGACATGGGAAAATATTCTCGTTACAAGATTTTTTAAAGAAAAGAAAAAAAAATAGATAAATTATGTCAACGAGAATCAAGCAAGAAAATACATATATTTATATATTTATTTAGTTTGCATTAAAAATTATGGGTTTTAACTTATTTTACCAGATTAAAAACAGAGGCTATAAAAGAACCAATCCAAACGGTTTGTCATTCTCTAATCACTTTTACTTTCATCTTCCGTGAACGTGCAAGAGCTTTGCAATAGAATTGCGAATTTTTACTGTGAAGGAAGAATGTATAAACGCGACAAGGAAAAGTTTGTCACTACTTCGATAGAGAATTGCTCGAACTCGGCTGTTGTCCATGTTAGTGTTAAGCAGGTTTTCTGGTCTTAGCTACTGATCAATTTACGACAGAGAATTGCTCGAACTCGGCTAGTGATCAAATCACATATAAACCTCAATACATAGACTTGTTACGTAAAATTGTCTAGGCAAAATGTGTTTAGAACGATTCTTGTCAATCGGTATGTAAAATGTGAAGCTATTATCACTACAAGAAAGATTTTTGACATGATGACATAGAATGCTATGATAGATGAATATTTTAAGCAATTCTTTTATATACAAAAAGTGTATTTCAAATAATGCGTCTTTTTCTTATTCGATTCAACTAATATTTTCTATATTGTAAATTTGAATACAAATACACACAAAAATCTGTATATAAGATTATGTGCGACTTCATTCTAGTTTTCTTTTTTTTCCAATCCCTAGACTAATCGAATGTTTCACATGAATGTTTTGGTAAAGACAAAGTAAGTAAGATGAATTTTACTCGAATACATTTGAGTTTGTTTATGAAAAATATAGAGAAAGAACAATCTAATCTCTTGAAAGTAAGATGAATTTGAAACCTTTCATTCACGCCCTCAGGATCCTCTTAGGTTGTTTGGGTTTAAAATTTATTAATGAGTAAAAAAAAAAAAAAACTCAAATTGAACCAAATATATGAGTCAAATTGAAAATATTAGGTGAATAGAGGAATCAAATGAAAACCAAATGTTATGATTTTCTTATTAAACTACAAAGACATTTAGGACTCGTTCATTTATTGAATTTGATGTAACTAATAATTCCTCATATTGATGGAAATTGGAATAGCCTAAAAGAAAAGTTGGTAAAAGAGATTTTTAAAAATACTCAACTTAGGATTGAAGTTTTTAGAGTTATGCAATATTATAGACAAAGTCTTTGTTACAAGCTTAAAAATTTAGCAGACCTTAATGAAAACAAATGCTGTAAAATGTTGTATTTTGCAGAGCACACGCATGGAAAAAGGCTTGCTTCCTGAAAGATTCGAAGGTTGGGAAGGGATATAGACATATAGGAAACAGAGACATAAGGTGAAGAAGATCAAAGAGCATATTTACACACTGATGATGTGTCCAGACATGTATTTCACTGTAGTTGTTACCCTTCTGACGATTTGTGAGAGACCAAATATTTCAAAATGATCTTCAGGTTCTATGAAACATGCTTAGTAATTTACCTTTCCTGTCAATAAAAACAACACGCAGAAAGTGTTTGTGTGACAATCTGTTGCATTTATTGTAAGATTCAATGATATGAATAAAGTTGTAAGAAAAAGGGTTCCAGATATTTAATAGACTTGTTATCTTTAGGATGTAGTATTGATTACTTGTTACCTGTGGAATAATTATTGTTCATGAGTTTCAATGCTTTTGAAGCTTTATTTTCTTTTCTAAAGGCTCCATTTCCGGCAAATTTTTTACCACAGCTCCAAAGCCTACGCTGTCTCCATTAGCAAACTTTCGCGATGAAGATAAGCCGAAATCAAATGGTCCCCGTGATTCAGCCTGCGTTTAGTAAATCTGATGTCAAATTTCAAATCCAAATGGTAAAACATATCTCATCTTATTTGCCCAATTCGAGTATTATTTTGAAGTTAACATATGTTCTTAGAAAAATGTGAGGCAGAGACCACACAGTTGGAAGAACTCTTACTTACCCACTTGATTCCTGATAATCCGAGGCTGCTGTCTTGATTAAACACCGAGGAACCCAGTAATGGTTTTGCGGGGTTCGATTCATCTTTCTGTTGCTCCTTCTCAGCTTCTCCACTTACCTGCCAAATTTTCAAACCCCATGACCATGAGTTGCAAGTTCTAAACTTCTGACAATAGTAATATCGGAAATGTTTAGTGATAAAATAAAATAAAAACACTAGCATAACTTGAGAAACATTTAACCTGGTCGTGAACCTTTGGTATTATTGTGGTACGCTTTCGAAATGAAAATGCATGGCATGTATCGTCTGCATCAAGTATAGACGAATGTGACGGCTCAGGAAGAGGAGCAGGGCAAGGAGCTCGAGTTTGGTTCACGAGGAAAGCATCTAATGAATCAGAGATTAGATGTAATGGTGGTTGTTTGATAGCTCTCCTTGTTTCCCAAGTTTTGTTACAGTCACTAAACCTTCCCTCTCCTAGAGAAGATGCTTCGGAGAGTAAGCCTCCTATACTTCCACTTGTCTGACCATCATTATTATTATGAGCTGGTTCCTGCTCATGGTTCATATGACATCTGTCTTGTAAAGAAGCCTCAGAAAACAGACCTCCAATGCTTATGTTAGTAAGATTGTCTTCCCAGAGAGTTGCGTTTGCATTCCCTGCGTTTGAATTTATACAATGATTTCCAAAGTTTCCCTTCAATGATACTTCTGAAAGCAAGCCACCAATACTTAGGCTTGTTAATCCATCATCCCAAAAAAGCAATGTCGGACCAGATCCATCGTTTATCTTATTCTCCTGGATAAACAAAAGTAGTTATGATCCCTGGTATACTGTGATATATGATTTGAATCCAAAACAAGAGAAAAGAAAACATTTTTCACTAAGCATACCGTTGACTCAACTTGTCCATCAGGCGGTAAGTTTTCCAAGGGAGGTGTGTCAGTCACTTGATTTGGAGAGGACATCATTGTCAATGGGTTCTCTGAACCACACATCTGCTTTCCCGTACCTGGAGTTGAAGGAGATGGCGGTTCATTGTTTTTATTTTCAGTCGCAAAGGACCACCCATACCTAAACGAAATAACAAGACTCATAAGACGTGACAACGCTTAGAAAGTTGCTTCAAAAGGTATATAGATGCAAACCTTAAGCGGAAAAGAAAAGGAGCTCCAATAGCTTCATAGACATCGCCTGTAGTGATGTTGCTGTTTGCTACCCATTTATGACCAGAAGCAAGTACCGATTTATCATAAGGGTACAACGTGGGATCTCCCCGAGCAATCTCTGAGCTGCCCCACTTACTGTGAATGCGTTGAAGCACTGACGAAATCTTCTTCCGTGAGCTAAGAGTGAGTTCTAAGTATGGGTGTAAGCCATCCTATAGGGTAACAAAAAAATAATAAATTGAACTCTTCACCAGAATATATATATAGACTTAGTGCAAGACTTGTGATCTGATCTTAAGCTCTACCTTTTCCAATCCTTCACGGGTATGAGCATCCAAAGGAAAGAGCTGCAACTTCATTTTTCCAGAACGTTGAACCTCTTTGCTCGAATGGAGATCAAGGACAGGTACTTTTTGAGTTTGGTCATCGGTATGTAACAGCCTTTGATCTTGAGAAGATGGAGGCTTAGCTGAACATTGAGAAGGGGTTTTCTCCTCTCTTCCGATATTATGTTTTCCTGATATATGAAAAATCCAATTACAGTTGCCAAAATATCGTAGATAACAATTTAAGACTCTGAGCTAAGCTCTACGAAGATATATTATGATATTTAGTGGTAAACACCTTCTATCAAGTGAAAATTATTAAGAAGGTTCAATAAACTATTACCAGATTGATGGAATTTCTTAGTAGTTGTTTTCATACACTTCTTGGCTCTGGTTAATTTTCCTCTGGCTTTGATCTCCTTTGAGGGCTCAGTTGCAGTTTCAGTCTTCTTTCTAGCCATTCTGAAAAAGAATAAGAAAAAAGAATTCGGTATCAAAATTCAGAGTCAAATCATTCTTTTCTCCATACTATTTCATAGAAAAACCTCCAATCATACAGATTCAAACCCTAGAAATCCAAGTGTCTCACAGATCTAGATTCATCCGAACGAAACTTAAAAACAAGCTCAATTACTCGTACGAATAAATCCATACTTATTAATCATACACGATTTCAGTCGTAGAAATTTTAAACAAATTTCAATAATATCCAGATCTAAACCCAGAAACTCATATGCGTTTCAAATCTCAGCTTATCCAATACCGAATGAAACTTATAGACTAATTAAATTCGAATTTGAGATAAACAAACACAGCTATAGTCAAATTATTAAGTTCTTCGGAAGATTTTATGAAAAATTCAAATCAAAATCTCCGACTCACGCTGATCGGAACCCTAGAAATCCAGCCAAACCTAGATGATTCAACCAAATGAAAAATTCATACCATGAAAAATCAATCAGACATGAATAAATTCAAATTGAGACCAGCAATCACACTTAGATTTACAATCTATAAAACAAATCTTACGGAAACGTCTCCAATCAAGCAACAGAGAAACGATCGGTGGAGAGAAGTCAATATAAGCAACGAAATCGCTCAAAATTAAAAAAAAAAAAAAAAGATCACTGAGAGATGATTGCACATGGTTAAAAATCACCGATCTAGTCTAAGACGCGAGGGAAAAAGCTTACTAAACGAGAGAAGACGGAGCTAGAAGACGAAGATCTTCGAGAAGAGAACGACGGATCAGAAGAAAATCTCCGAGAGAGCAGAGAGGAGTGAAATAACCAGGCGGGAATTTTTCGATGAAAATTTGTCAGAAATAAAATTCTCCCTCCATTGGCTTTTTCCATATACCGAAATTTTCATTTAGGGGTAATATCGACTTTCCTCGATTGTGGCGGTTGCCTTGTATTTGGGCCCAAATGCGTGGCCCATTAGTTTTGTCTTAGTCCACTATTTTATCTTAGGCTAAATGACGGAGATACTGTATATGGCCTAGTCCCCTATTGGTTAATAAATAAAATCTTTATAAAGTATATTTAATGACATTGCTGCTTCACACTGTGACCTACGAAGAAGGATGATAAAATGTCAAAATAGGAAATTAATTTGAAGATATAGCAAAGTCATATGAGTTTCTTTCGCCATAAATTATGTAAGGTTTTAAAAATTGAACTCTCTTCTCGAAGTGTCTTCTTCTCTTTCTGACATTTAATATTTTTCAAGTATCAGTGCGACGTCATTTTCAAAAATCATATTCATAATCATGGCTTTTGTTTTGTTTTTGTTTTCATACGATTTATTCCATAGGAATCAAATACACTTGGTTGCAAATCATTTCAAGTTTTCCAAGGAACAATCATAGTTTTTTTTGCCAACCAATCATAGGGTCTGATTGGTAACAAGCTGTTAGATGAAACTGTTAGCTGGAACGGTTAGTTGGAGCTGTTAGATGTTAGGGAATAGTACAAAGTTGTACAAAAGAATAAAACACGAAAACTGTACAAAAAAAATAACGCATAACAAATTTTAAAAATTTATTCTGATTGGAAACATCATAGCGGTACACATAATAAATAATATTAAGAATTTAGAAAGATAGAAAAAATTATATAGAAATGTACTTTAGTATATAATTACATATGAAAATTAAGATTATATAGAATGAACAATATTTTATTGTTAGAATAATAATATGAATTTATTAGTTCTATAATAAATAAAATTTTCTTTATTTTGAGCAATATAACATTCCAAAATAATTGTTTGAGAAAAAAACCATTATTTCTAATGAGATTTTTTCATAGGATTTATTATTTACTTTTTCGGAAATCTTTATCTGAACATTCGAGACTTTTTTTTTGCATTATACATAGTTACAATTATATTTTATAAAGTTTAATTATGTGGTTAATAATACGGTTAACCGTGCGGCTAATCGTACTGTTAAATAACGGTTTTGATACGTTTCTGGTATATTAACGGTTACGTTTAATATTTTTTTTAACCGTAACTAATCTAGTTTTACGGTGAATGGTTATGGTTTTTAACCGTTTTATACAGTTACGGTTGAAAAACGCTTACTAGGCATGACCAAAAGCTAACCGTAACCATATGTTGTACCGTAACCGGACCGTTTGTCAACCGTAACCGAACCGTTTCTCAACCGTAACCGTATAAAATGGTTAAAAACCGTAACCGTAAAAAAAAATTAGTTACAGTTAAAAAATATATTAACCGTAACCGTTAATCAAGGGTAAACATATGAAAATCGTTATTTAACCATATGGTTAACCGCATAGTTAAAACTTTAATAATATAATTGTAACTCCATATAATGCAAAAAAAATTATCGAATATTCAGATTAAGATTTTCAAAAAAGTAAATGATACCGCATATGAAAAAATCTACGTTATAAAAAATGGTTTTTTTCTCAAACAAATATGGTATACTGTTATTTTGCTCGAAATGAAGAAAATTTGGTTTGTAACATACTTTTTGATTTTATGAAAAGTATTATAATAAGTTAGGTAACTCGTAAGATTTCGCCTCCGATATTAACCGTATTGTAGTCATTAAATAACTATAACCGTAATTATCCGTAACCGTTGTAACCGTAACCGTAACCGTATTTAACTATAACGGTTATAACCGTATTTAACCGTAACCATTATAATTGTATTTAATCGTAACCGTATTTAACCATAACTGTATTTAACCGTAACCGTTTTAATTTATTTTTGTTTCTGTCCAAGAAAACAGTTTTTTTTTTCTTTTTTTTAATAGTGAACCGCTTTTCATAAAGCTTTTGTGATTGGTAATTGTCAAAGCTGTACAGCTTTAAAATTAGTTAGCAATCATAGCCATAGTCTAACTATATATCAAATTTAGTCTGAAAATAAGTAAGTAGATAAGGACGGAATCTCAAAAGCCTCGGATCAATGATAATTATTTTGACAGAATTTGTAGGAATCAATTAGCACTTCTTAACTTTTGAGTTTTGATATAACACTTTCATTAGTTCCATAATCTAGCTAGTGATCATACGGAATCCACCACTATATATGATGTAATAACATGTGTCAAAACTGTAAAATTAGATAGAAAACATATATCCTTGTACTATCCGAGTAAAAATATATGTAACTTGTATGATGAATATCGCCTGATATCTAAGTGAAACTTACCCTAAAAAGAAAAACAGTTCACATGAAAAGCATCGATAACGACAATAAGAAATAGATACTTAACAGAGCTAGAAAACACAATATTATTATAATTTAAAATTAAAAAAAATTGAATATACGTAAATATAGTATAAAGAAAGAAACACACAAAGAATGGGCTTATCAAGCTGATGGATGTGAATGGTATTATTCATAAATCAGAAGCGTCCAAAGGTGATGTTGCTGCCTCTTATTTCCAAAAGCTTTTCTCTTCTTCTGATCCTTCCAATCCGTTGGATCTTTTAGATGGTTTTGAGGCAAGGGTCACTGATGAGATGAATGAGCTGCTTATAGCAAATGTGTCAAAAGAAGAGGTTAAGTATGCTGTGTTTTCCATTAAACCATCGAGTGCACCTGGAGCAGACGGTATGACAGGACTGTTTTTTCAACAATACTGGGACGTTATTGGAGATCAGGTCTTTAAGGAGGTTACTGGTTTCTTTGTTGATGGTGTATTCCCAAGAGAATGGAATTTCACTCAACTGTGCTTGATACCAAAGAAGGTAAACTCTCCTCTTATGAGTGATTTGAGACCAATTAGTCTTTGCTCAGTGTTGTACAAGGTTGTCTCCAAGATCATGGTTACTAGGCTGAAACCTCTTCTCCCTGGGATTATTTCGCCTAACCAATCTGCCTTCGTCCCTGAGAGACTTATTTCTGACAACATTTTGATTGCTCATGAAGCAGTTCACGCCCTAAGGACTCATCCGATTATCTCTAGAGAATTTTTGGCAGTCAAAACGGATATGTCTAAAGCCTATGACAGGATGGAGTGGAGTTATCTCAAGGCTTTGCTGTCTGCTTTAGGTTTCTGCCAAAAATGGGTTGATCTTGTGATGTTTTGTGTCACTTCTGTGTCTTATACCGTGTTAATTAATGGACAGCCTTTTGGCCTGATTAATCCTGAGAGAGGAATTAGACAGGGAGATTCTTTATCTCCTTCTCTTTTTGTCTTATGTGCTGAAGGGCTGACACACTTGCTTAATAGAGCAGAGGCTGCAGGTTTAATCAATGGGATACAGTTCTCTGAGGATGGTCCTGCGATTCATCACCTATTATTCGCCGATGACAGTCTCTTCCTGTTCAAGGCCAAAGTAGACCAGAGTGAAACGGTTCAAGGCATCCTTTCGGCGTATGGCAAGGTGACTGGTCAGCTGATTAACCTTGAAAAGTCCTCTATTTCTTTTGGAGAAAATGTTGATCTGCTGGCCAAAGGAAAAATTCAGGAGATTATGGGAATTTACAGTGAAGGAGGTTCTGGTTCTTATTTAGGCCTACCCGAATGTTTCAGTGGTTCCAAGATTGATTTGTTAGCTTACATACAGGAAAAAATGAAAGCAAGGATGTCAGGCTGGTTTGCTAGAACTCTTTCTCAGGGTGGTAAAGAAGTTTTGATTAAAGCTGTGGCCATGTCAATGCCGGTTTATGCCATGTCATGTTTCAAACTTCCAAAGACCACCTGCGACAATCTTTCTGCGGCGATGGCTGCCTTCTGGTGGGATACTACAGAAGATAAGAGGAAGATGCACTGGATTGGATGGGACAAGCTTTGTGTTCCTAAACACTTGGGTGGACTGGGATTCAAAGATATACAAGTTTTCAATCAGGCCTTGCTCGCTAAGCAGGCATGGAGAATTATGAATGACAAGGACTGCCTATTTGCAAGATTTCTGAAGAGTAGGTATTTTGGTGACTCTTCCTTTTTGATTGCAGAATTGGGTGCTAGGCCTTCCTTTGCTTGGAGGAGCATCCTCCATGGTAGAGACCTTCTCAAACAGGGGCTAAGAAGAATGATTGGTGATGGTGAAAGCTCTTTAGTCTGGACTGATCGGTGGGTTTTGGATGGTGCTATGCGTGCCCCTCTCATGAAAAACATTATTTTTGATCTGAATTTGAGGGTTATGGATCTGCTGGACCCGCAAACTGGCTCTTGGGATTTGGACAGACTGCAATTCCATTTCTATCCTAGAGATGTTGAACTGATTCAAAAGATCAAGCCGGTTAGATCGTCGGAGGACTTCTTTGTTTGGGAACATACAAAAAGTGGAGAATATTCAGTGAAGTCTGGCTATTGGTTTGCCTTTCAAAAGGAAAAAGCAGATTTGATCAATTTGATGCAAGTACAGCCCTCTATCCAACCTCTTAAGGACCTGATTTGGAAATGTCTTGCTCCCACTAAGATTAAAAATTTTCTGTGGAAAGTGGTTAGTGGTGCGATTCCGGTTGTGGATAAGATGTTGGGAAGAGGTCTTAAAGTTGATTCAAGATGCCAAAGCTGTGGAGGGGAAGGTGAGTCTGCAAACCATGTTCTTTTTACGTGTGCAGTTGCTCGTCAAGCTTGGGCTCTGTCCAACTTTCCGGTTCCTGCAAATGGTTTTGATTCCTATTCCATTTTCCACAATTTGTTCTATCTTTACTTGACTGTCAAAAACAAGATTGTTCCATTGGAGATCCGTAGATCTTTCCCTTGGATTTTGTGGCAGCTTTGGAAGAACAGGAATTTGTTCTTTTTTGAAGGCAGAAGATTTGTAGTCACAGAAACTGTTGCAAAAATCAGAGAAGATGCAAATCAATGGTTTTTTGCTCAAGCTTTAGAGAATAGGGATTTGATCAATGAACAGGCGGTCCATGCTTCAGTCAAAGCTAAATGGCTGCCTCCCCCTCATGACTGGTTAAAATGCAATTTGGGATCATCATGGGACGGTAACAGCAGCATTGGTGGTGCAGCATGGGTTTTAAGGGACGATCATGGTGTGGTTCTTACTCATGGAAGAAGGTCCTTTGCGTCGGTGGGTAGCAAGCTAGATGCTAGTGTTCTTTGTTGGCAATGGGCTATTGAGAGTATGAAAAGTCTCAGAATTGATAAAATCATCTTTGCTTCTGAGGATTTGGATCTTATTGGAGCTGTCCTAAGGCCACCAGCTTGGCCCTCTTATAAGTTTCAGTCTCTTTTATTGTCTGAGGATTTAAGGAATTTTTGGGATTGGAACCTCCATGTAGAGATTAGAGCTACCAATCTAGGTGCTCATCTTATTGCCAAGAGTGTTACAATGGAGGATCGTCGCCAATCGTACGTAGCAACCGGGTTCCCCTTTTGGTTAAAAAAGCTTTTTGAGGATGAAAGTAGTATTGCTTAGTGTAATACTCATTGTGGTTGATCTAGATTGATTGTCTTTGATCCGAAGTTTGTATGTGTCACTGGTTTTATGAATATATATCAATCTTTCAGTGAAAAAAAAAAAAAAAAAAAAAGAAACACACAAGAAAAGTAGTCTGTTTTGGATCTTTAACCAAACGGAACCTCTGTCTGTGTCCCCGCATTGTCCTTTTGTCGATTATAAAAATTCGGTCACGCCTTTTCACTTCCATACTCCTCATTTTCCATCTCTATACTCTACCACTTTTATAGATTCTCTATATTTAAAAAAAAAAAAAAAAAATTAATTTTTTGATAAAATTGTAGAAAAGCATTTTACTAATCTATATTGTTCACAATGTATCTATATTGTTTGTTTCCAGTAGAACTATTAACAAGGTTAAAACAATTATTGAAAGACGAATCGAGTTTGTGCTAGTTGTAGGATCTTCGACAACCGGTTGCATACATTAAGCCATGCATTTGTCTTTTTTTGCAAGAAATAAATTGTAATAGTATATACTTAGATATTGTTTGCTATTGCATAAATTGAAATTTAACAACAAGTCAACAACACTCTATCTCTTAAATGTTTGTAATGCATAGACAAATTCAGCAAACCTTTTAGATTACGGCAACTACGACTCTACGAGAACATCACTTGGAAAGCAAAGTTAGGAAATTCATATAAGCAAAAAAGAAAGAAAAAAGACAAATAACAAAATATAATAGGGAGACAAACTTTTTTATGCTGTTATATTTCTTTTATATAGAACTTTTAAATATTTTTTTTTATTTTCATCTCAATACTGTATATATTAACAGAAAATATATATACTGTTTTGCTTAAAGAAGAAAATGAGGGAAAATATATAAAAAAAAAAGTTTTAAAAAGAGAAAAGATTCTTCTCCCCTGTCCTCGCTCTTAAATGGCAAGAAAGGAGACTCTGATGGGAAGTCCATAACTGAAATAAGAGTGGAAAATAAAAATAAATAACGGAACGGAAGAGAGAAAAAATAAATAATATCACTCAGAAAATTTCCACAGTTTTTCTTTCTCATGTTGATTTAGCCCATTCGTAGACTTCCTCCGCCTCCGCGCCGCCGTTAGACGCCGCCTCGGCAGTTTCAGCAACCGCCGTGGTGTTCGTCGTCTTCCAAGGCTCGATTCTCTCCTCTTATCTGGTAAATTTATATTATTATTGGGTTTACTCTCGTGAAGATTCGGTTATACTTGGGAGACTATATTTTATAATTCGTTTGTTCTGATTTAGTCCTACTTCTCAAAATTCTGGATAAATTTGCAATTCATTGTCTCAGATCGTATGAGTATTGGATCTGATTTTGAATTTTGTAGTTAGAGCTATGTTCATGTTGGAGTTTTGGGACAACAATCGTTTTTGGATCTAAAGCATTTTTAGATCGTGGAATTGTGAAACTCGATCTAGAAAAACAGCTAAAAATTCAATTGATGTCAATTGCCCAGGATTGATTGATCGTAATAAGATCTCTATGTGTTGTTGTTACATCGATAAATTTAGCTCTGACATGAAAATTGAAATATGCAGAGATCTGAATAGAGATATGTTTAAGAAAATGAGTGCAACAAGCAGCAAGACGGATCAAAAAGCGGCATTAGACATTGCATCATGGCTATTCAATGTTGTTACTTCCGTTGGAATCATCCTCGTTAACAAAGCTTTAATGGCTACTTATGGCTTTAGTTTCGGTGAGTCTTCTTTCTTATCACAACTCTTCCCTGAGAAATATATTAGTCAACGGTGGTTGACTTGTTTCAATACACTACTAAACTGATTTAAGATCTGTTTCTAAATCTGACACAGCTACAACATTAACCGGTTTGCATTTCGGAACAACCACATTGTTGACAACTTTCTTGACATGGCTTGGTTATATCCAACCTTCTCAGCTTCCTTGGCCTGATCTTTTGAAATTCGTTTTGTTCGCTAACTTCTCCATTGTTGGGATGAACGTGAGTCTCATGTGGAATTCTGTTGGATTCTACCAGGTCAGTCCTTTTTCATCTCTATGCGAATTACGTTTTCTTTAGTTTTAGTTTTTTTAAAGAAGATCTTGAAACGAGTGTGTTGACATTGCAGATTGCGAAGCTGAGTATGATCCCGGTTTCTTGTCTTCTAGAAGTTATGCTTGACAATGTCAGGTATTCAAGAGATACAAAGCTTAGCATTTTGTTAGTTCTTGCTGGTGTTGCCGTCTGTACTGTAACCGATGTTAGTGTCAATCTCAACGGATTTCTCGCTGCTGCTATTGCTGTCTGGAGCACCGCGCTCCAGCAATACGTAAGTATCTATATATCTCCTATGCCTGAACTTTAATCTAATTGTCAAATTTGGTCAGATCTTGGTCAAAAATCATCCTGATCCCACACATTCATTGTTTTTAATCTTGCTTGACTTGTAAACCGAAATAGAAATCTGATTTCTAACAATTGGTACCACACTCTGCAGTATGTACATTATCTACAACGGAAATACTCACTCGGTTCTTTCAATTTACTGGCACATACCGCTCCAGTCCAAGCGGCATCATTGTTGTTGGTCGGACCATTTCTAGACTACTGGTTGACAAACCAAAGAGTGGATGCATACAACTTTTCATTTGTATCTCTGGTAAAGTTTCTCCTCTGTTTCTTTACAAAGTCTCATACGATTCAAAACAGAGCGATGAGGATTTGAAACATAGTAGTGCTAGTAGTCATACCAATTCGCATCTATTCAATTTCAAGAACTGATGACAACCAGTTAGGCTCTTAATTGTTATACTCTGTTGGATTTGTCTTTCCTAAGCTCTACCTAACCCAATCTTTTGGGCAGTTCTTCTTAATACTCTCGTGCAGTATTGCGGTCGGGACCAATCTCAGCCAATTCATCTGTATTGGAAGATTCACGGCGGTGTCTTTCCAAGTACTTGGTCATATGAAGACAATTCTGGTTTTGGTTTTGGGATTCACTTTCTTTGGTAAGGAAGGTTTAAACCTACAAGTAGTGCTTGGAATGCTCATTGCGATCCTAGGTATGATCTGGTACGGTAATGCATCTTCTAAACCGGGCAGTAAAGAGCGCCGTAGCCTCTCTATTCCTATAACCAAGTCACAGAAACTATCTGAAACAAACGAATCTGATGAGGCTGTGTAGAAGAAAGAAGTGATCGCATTGACATAGAAACAAAAACAAGAAACTCAGATACAAAACAGGTAGAGTTATCAAATGGGATATTTATTCATAAACAAAAAGAAAAAGGGTTTAAAGTATTTAATTTCCAGAACTATAATTTTCTTTTTTTACAGAGCTTTTTTGTTTTTATGAATTTTACCTATTGATTAATCCTTTTTTTGCATTTTGCATTTTTTTGCCTAATTCTCCCAAAAGAAACATCATCATCCATACGACTGATAATAAGAAAATCTCAATTTTATTTTTTATAACAAATTTTGTCCTATTATGATTTATTACTGTCACCTGCAATATCCACTTTTGTAGATATTTTCTTTCGTAGCGTGAATATTTATTCTTGGGTCCATAAGAGTTTTATCATACTAAAAGAAAGAAACAGGGTATCTATAAGAAGTATACATGGAAGAATAAAAAATTAACTGACACATTTGTGACACTATTTACACAGTATATTAGCAAAGAAAATTACATCATTATCCTTATGTTCTTTTATCTTTCATCTTTATCTTCTTTTCATCGTTCTCTTCTCTTCATTTTTTTCTTCTGAATCTTCTCATCATCATTTTTTTTTGTGTTTTTTCGTGTCTATCAAAGAATTGATTAGATGAATCGTCTCATCTTGGTTGTGATTTTGAAATTCGGCGGAGTAGTTCAATTCCAACGATGAAAGTGATTATAATGATGGTGGTTCAATTCCGATGGTGAAAATAGATTACGATACAATAATATGAAAGTTCACGGTGGTGATGGTGATAATTATATGGTGGCACTGATGATTATATGGTGGTGTAAAATTGGGAGAAGATAAGGAAACCATGGGAGGTGATACCGACATAAAAGAATATGGTGGCGGTGATGATTTTATCCGTATCGGAGATAATAATTATGGTGTGGGTTTGCGGTAGAGGAAAAAAAATGGTTCTGAAATGATGGGGTGAGAAGAATACGGCGGAGATGTGGTGGTTGAAGATTACAACAATGGTAGTTTTTGTTCAGATTCAAATTGGTTAACAATCAAATTACCGAGTTAACTAAAATTTTATCTAGAGGTAGGTGATAATAATAATCTTATTGGATGAAATTCATATTTTGCACGTTAAAGTAACTCGTTAAATTTTTATATATGATATAATAAATTAGTTAATACGGTAAATATAAATATATCACATAAGTTCTAACTTATCGTGATAGAAGATGACTTAGCATGATATAATTATAAACTTATTGATATAAATATTTTGTTATCATGTTAACCTAATAAATATTACCGAGATATTTGATAAATAGTGAAGATACAAAAACGTTGATATCTAATTCATACATATCTAATTCATATAAGAAATGTCGATATCTATTTTATTATGACGTTAACTAATTTGTTATATGTGGAGAGGTATTTTCGTTCAACTTACATAAATTAAAGAGAGATAACTAATAATAAAAAAACTAAAGATATATTCTTAATTTTTAAATCTTCTGTGTATTTAAATTAATATAGCTCAAAGAAATATCTGCATTCAAAATGAACGGAATTATACAATGGTTCCTTGAATGCAATATTTTGCATTTATTATTGGAGATATCATCATGGTCTTTACGTAATCTTATTTTTTAAAATGTCATCAACCATATCATTCTATATCAAGCACATGGACTCACCCCAGTTAATCGCCGTGTTATAAGGGTTTTAGTTCAATAATTATCTTCTTTTTTTTTTTCCTCTTTTGACGTCTCTTTTAATTATCAAGACTTTTATGTTTAGAGTCTTTAAGACAAAAGAGCGAAAGAGAAAACTAAACGGGGGCGTGCACACGTGTAAAGCTCAGTGTTAAGAGGTAGTTGCGTGTGGAGATAACCGAAACGGGAAAGTTCTAACGAAAACAGCTCTGCTTACGTGTGCGTGTAGTGTTAAACGGGATCTCTCCTCACACGTGCGTCTGTTATTTGACGTTTGATTGTTTGAAGGACAGAAATGTGTGACTTTATTTTTTTGTATCTTTGGAGAAAAAAAAGAAGAAGAAGAAAATTCCCGTTATTGGAGGAAGTCCACACGAATTTTCCCGTTTTATATATATATAATCAATAAATAAACCATAGTTTGTCTCTACAAAATACAAATAAAGAGAAAATAAACTACACCAAACTACTTAACATTTTGTACTTTAATATATGACTAAAATAAATTATAATGAATTTCATAGTTTTAAACACAATTATTTGTAGTTGTATCTACTAATACTAAAACCTAAACAATTTAGTCATACTTACGAACATGAAACAAAAGTCAATACCCTGTATTGAGCAGCTAAGCATTATTCGTCATATTTTGCTACTTTAAGTTGTTGATATATGACAGACGAAATTATTATTCGATAACCTGACGTACATGTTGATTTTAAATGGGGTTTGGGATCCAAACATAAATTTCATACAAAATTTTAAACTGGCCTAACAATTAGGTGTTAGATAGATGTTTTGGCTGGAAACAGTTCGGGACTTAATTCAAATTTATTTGAAAGGACACATCCATTGTCTTCATTGACCAATTTTTTTTTCAAATTTTCCAAGTAGAGGATGTATTAAGTTCTTCGTATTTTCATATTAATAATTTTGAATTTATATCTTTGTTTAATTAGCTTAACATACCAATGGCAAATTTAACGATAAATCCAGCAGACGAAATAAAAACGATTATTTTAATAATGTTAAATTTCAATCATACGTCGAGAACTACTATATAGTTCGTTTAATGCATCGCTGCATTGTTAGTAGACCTACAACGTGGGTCCTTCGTGGGGTATCTTGGTAGGTCGTTACTCGTTATACAATAGTAAACTACAGAAATATTATTTAAAAATACGAAGCAAAGTAGATAGAGCGTAACTACATGATTTTGATTAATACGATCGACCAGCTTAAGAGATAAGGATTTTGAAGATTACGTGCAAAATATACGTCTATAGCAATAACCGAAATGCTAAATTGTATATTATTGCGCAATGCTACTGATGCTATGATATAAATAAATTCGTTGTTGTTAATTTAGACAGCTATTTAGATTAAGATTTGCCAAAGGTTGCGATGTTAATTTAATTCTTAATCATATCATGAGAAACAGTTAAGATATTCGTAATTTGTGCTTGTACGGCGATTTTCATTACAATGATTGATCAATAGTTTTATAATCTGGTCCAAATACAACTGCTACGATGTATTGAGATTGCACTTTAGGAAAATATGCTATTATTGTTTACCATCATTACATCATCAAAATAGATATATTTTGTTATGAGTTTTGGTGGTTTATTATTGTATATAGTTTACCAGTATACATACTCACGCATTTTTCGCGGACAATTTGTTTTGTTTCTAATATTTAATTATATATAGCAGATATTTGATTTCTCAAATTTCCACTTAAAATATCCATGATTTAATATATTTGGATTAATACAATCGGATGACTAGTTTATAAAGATTGGGAAATTTTCATGTAATTGTGATATTATTCGGTAGGATTCAATTTTGTCTCTTCGTGAAAGATAAAATAGAAAAACCAATAGTCCTATTGAAAAAGGGAAATTGTTAAAAATGTCTTTTTTGGTGTTCCTTTTTTCAAAAATGCCCATTTTAGATGTCCATTTTCAAAAATGTTCCTTTTTAAATCTGAAATTTTTATAAAGTTTTATTAGGTTTCTAAAGGTACTTATGGATTGTAACTACTACTTGAAGACTCGATCCAAATATTTATAAGGTTTTATAAGGTGTTTTTAAAGGTTTTACAAGTTATTTTAAAGGATTTTTAAGGTTTTTCAAAGGTTTTACAAGATATTTTAACGGTTTTTAAAGGTATTTAAAATACATTTATAAGGTATTTATAAAGTATTTATAAGATTTTAGATACATAGAAATGTAGTTTGTGTATGTTTTAATATGTTACATACATATTTGGGTAAATCTTATATTTTTAAGAGCATTTTTTATAAAATTTTAAAGAAAGGGTATTTTTGAAAAGTGACATTGAAAAGGGGGTATTTTTGCAAAAACCCCTTGAAAAAATATACTACATAACATTACATCCGTGTAAGGATAACACATAATGAACTCTTTAATTACCACATTCTGAATCATTTAAACTGAATGGTAAAGAATAATAACAGTACATCAATGAATCATGAGTCTATCATGATGTGGAAAAAGAAAAAAAAAAACCAGTACATCAGTGTTTTAGTAACTTTAACTATTTACCGTTTCGTTTAAAATGATTTTTTAATTTCCTAACGATTATCTCAGAGCTAAGACATCAAAAAATGAATCCAAAAATCTACACAAACAATAACTAATATTTGTTGCATAAGCTAAAAAGTTAGGAAAAAGAAGAAAAGGAAAGGTAGAGAGCAGAGAGATGGCCGCATAAAGCCACCCGCTTATCTCCCACTTCCACTGAATTGTCTCATAACTTTGCATTCTTTCTTATTATTGTTGTTATATAATCAACCACCACTCATTAGCTCACCCACACAACTATTTGTATTTAGACTTTTTAGTTCATTTTATTGTAATTATTTTTTCCAAAAGATATTTTGTAATGGAATGAAAAAGGAAGGATTTAAAGATACGATAATTTAAAAACTCGTAGATGTTACGATGAACCAATTTAGAAATTAAACTAACTTGTGATATATTGGTTCAGTAAAAAAAACTAACTCGTGATCTACTGGCTACAAATAATATACCACTATTTTCTAATTATTGAAATAATATATAATAAACAAAATATATGTATATAATTAAAATTATAATATTAGAGATTTTAATAGTTTTCACGTAGTTTATTATCTTAAATATAAAATAATAACAGACTAAATAAGATATACTCAAAAATATCTCATTTTCAACTCAAAAAGAGTATCATTTTTGGTAGGAGCATTTGGTCATTAAAAAATTTGTTAAAATTTGGTATATTGAAATTCATGTAAAAATCCAACCTTAACGAAGACAAAAAATAAAAAAATAAAAAAAAAAGATATTTAAAACTGAAAATGTTCAATAATTCCGAACAAACAAATATGCGATGTTTCGTGTTGTCACGCGTTTCAGGAGGATCTGGAAACCTTTGAAAGTACTCAATAAGCTGGCTTTCAAATTATAAGACAAGCATTATACTTAAATAAATGATTATTATTGGCATATATGCAACGGTGGGAAGAAAACGAACCAATCCAGCTTTAAAACATTTACTATTGCTGTTTTCA